CAAATTTCGCAAGTGTTTCTGTCTCGACATGAGTGTTAGCACCTGCACCTGTTGATTCCCGTCGTCTGATCTCAAGATCCATATTCTTCATCTTGATTCTCACAAGAAGGAAATATATCTTCCCAAGGATGACATCGTTAAGGTGATACCTGCATCCAGAAGCATATAAGATCCCTTGTTATTTCCTGATCAGTCCGGCAAATACTAAAATCATGATACAAATTGTTTTCTTACTTGCTTTTATTGTACTCAAATTCGATGTGCAGGCAATCCTCAATTCCAACTTCCATCTGTAGAACAAGTCAATTGGTGCTATGAATTAAGCCTTAGTTTTGTATGAGCCTATTGACTACTCTATGAAAAGGAAGGAAAAAGGAACTCAACATATAAAAGGTCCAAGCGGAAGAAGATTTAATATCATAACTCATAAGTGATGGTACTAAGAGCCTAGAAATTGAGAATGGAACTGGTCGAGGTTTTAGGTGTTTTCGAAATTTGCTACAGTTCCTATCTCTTTTTCTTATAAAGTTTCAAACTTGGATCATATCACAATCAGAGCTCACCTTGATGCTGTTATTAATTTCAGGAAGTGGAGCGTAGTTTCGGACCTGTTTCAGACGACATCAACAAAATGTTAAATGGAACAAGTCATAGCACAGTTCTGCTATATTGGAACAATGACACTCAGCAAAAAGGAAGAAACATACCATAAACTCCTGGTGTTCCAAGATGCTTCCAGCGTAGCCACGAGTGAGGGTTACTTTGAGGACATATCTGAAGAGACAATGAACGCAGTAAATTTGTGTTAGAAAATGTATTGAGGAACACAAGTGTTTTAACCTCATGAGAAAAAAAGAATCATATGATATATACCTTAGCCGCACATTCACACCATTGTATGTCTCATATGGCATTTCAACAGTAGGAAACTCAAAAGGGTATGTCTTTCTTTCGTATATATCTCCAGGGACATCCAGTTCACGAACTGGTAAAAGGCAAAACGTAAAACAGAATCACAGCAAGTACAATTGGCTCAATCAATATTATCTAACAGGGTTGAACATGAAAGTAAATTCATGGTAATCGATGATTCAAGTCACCTCGTGACTATTTAGAACAAAAAAAAAAACGAAATCCTGAGACTTACTCACCTAAGGAAGTGAAGTCATAAAAGTTTCCTCTGTCAAAGTACATTTCTGTTGAGAACACAAATGACATCAATAAATATAAGTTAGAAACCAGATAACTAATCCCTTAAGACTCTTTTGGTGGTAGTTGATGTACAGGTCATGGCAATTACACACCTATTTGACCAAGAAGCTCAACTTTTACACCATTATGCTCCACCTTTTTCCCTTGATATGGTTCAATGCAAACCTAATCAAGACGTTGAGGACAAATTACTTTAAAACCCTCACAAGATCATAATTGGAAAGAGCTGAAATTCATCTAGAAACAAGAAACCAAGTACCTTCCCGGAAATAGTCTCTTGACTATGGAAAAGTGGCACCATAGCTGTTTGACCATTTTCTTTCTTCATGGGAACCTAGGCAAACAATGGAGATTGAAAATACGAATAAGTAAATCTGAAACGTGACTCAATCATAAATAATGGGTCCGAGTGATTTATAAGCCATCAAAATTTGGTACAAATGAGAGAAACCAGCAAAATAGATACCTGTTTACGGTTTTTGCCATCAGAAAAAGCGATTGAAATGTTGCACGCAGGCTTGAAGGCTCCACGAAGAAAATTCTGTGACATTTTAACCCAAACAAGCTATAAGCATTTACTCCACAAGCTTGTGTTTCAGACGCAGCAACACCAAGGCAAATACGTAGTGATTAAGAGCACTTACCATGATCTGAAGACTTAGATCCCAATCACAATAACCTATTCAATTCGACAAAGGAACCAAAATCAGCGACATTACACAGAATGCGTACGCTTTTAAAGCTAGAGGTGATTCAGATTCTGGAATGATATGGAGAGATAGAACTCAAATTTACGATTCAGCTAAGAGAAAACGAAACAGGACTCGATTCGATAAAGAGGGAAAGCAAATCGGTCAGATCAGCTGAGACACCATGATAACACCCAAATTGCAACAACACTTACCCTCCGAGTGGAAATGAAGAGTGAAGAATCGACTGAATCTGATATTTGGATTGGAGAAGAAGATTGACAGAAACAAAAATAGAGAAAGAAATAAAAAGGAAGGAACTTTATTCTAGTTGACTATTCGAGCCCAGTCAACAAAGCCCAGAATGTTTAAATCTGAGATTATTAGGCTAAATAAAAATCAGATTTTTAATTTTCTTCAAACACAATTCGATTTCGATCAACATTAATGGCGATCATGTGAAGTGAAGAAAGAGTTTAACACTAATATAACCCATGAAGTGACAACAATGGCCAATATATGAACAAGAGAGAGCAGAAGATCAAGCCTTTAAGAGCAATAAAATGATCCTACTAAAAACGGAAAAGTATTACAGAAGAGAGAGTGAAATGTGGCTAAAACTCCAAACTTTTCCAAATGAAACCAGAACATTTATAAAAGATGATCCGGAAAATTCATCAGGACTCTTCTTCAGGATCTCGCTGCCATGAATCCTGAGAATCTGACTGAAGGTTAATGATCTGAGAAACTAAAAGCTTCGAGATTCCACTTATCGCTGCTTGGACCTCATCTGGTTCCCTTGAGCCTCTCAATCCAGAGTACTCTCCTGCTGCAACTTGTGTCTTCTTCGACGTCGCAAGAACCTTCTCCAAATCCAACTGTGACAATGGCCTCGGATCCTACAAAATGTAAGCAAACTCACAAACATCAACACAACTCTCAAAATCTGGCCTTTGATCATGTTTTTTCTCCATTTTAAAACTTACCGGACAAGGTCTTCCCTTTCTCTCTTCCTCTAGGATTTCTCTGATAGGGAAGTAAGCTGCTTTCTTGCAGAGCTCGAAGATGTCTGATCCTGTGTAGCCTTCGCATAAGCGAGCCACTTGATCAAAGTCAATACCCGGTTCCACTCTCTCTCCTTTCAGAGTCACTTTCAATATCTCAGCTCTCTCCCGCCGGTCAGGCATTCCAATCTCAAAGGCCTGAGGAAGACGCCTCAGTATCGCTTCATCAAGCTCTGATGGTCTGTTAGTCGCAGCAAGAACCATAACCCTCGCGTTCGCTACAAATCAGCAATCAATAAACTCATAAAGAAACCATATCCATGCTGCATGTTAAACTAAGAGATGAGAGGTGAAAAAATTCAACTTACGGTCAGTAGAAAATCCATCCCATAAGGCCATGAACTCAGTCTTCATGTTCGCCATTGCTTCATGATCTGTTGAACGGCGCTGACCAAGAAAGCTATCAACTTCATCAATAAAGATGATCGCTGGTTGGAGTTTGTACGCCAAGCTAAATACAGCAGAAACTGAAACAAAGGTAACAGAACAGAGCAGCTCATAGTTTAGAAACGCCATTAAAGCACTAATTGGGATAATAACTAACAAAGTTGAACAATTTCGTTGAACAATGTGAACTTGAACATAAAGACGGCTCAAAGTTAATTACTTTGTGAACTTACCAAGCTTTTGAGCATCTCCAAACCACTTGCTCATGAGATTTGAGACACGAACGTTAATGAAGACGGCTCCTGATTCTTTGGCAATAGCCTTGGCAAGCATAGTCTTACCAGTACCAGGAGGACCATAGAGCAAGACACCCTTTTGAGGTCCAAGCAGCTTCCCATAAGCGAAAAGCTCAGGTCTCTTCAACGGTAGAATCACAAGCTCGTACAAAGCCTGCTTGATTGACTCCAATCCTCCAATCGAACCAAATTCAACTTCAATGTGATCTGGATTGATCACATCACACGCAATTACATCCTGTTTCACAGAATTAGTAACAAGTGAGCTATTTTCTCCAACTCCTTCATTGAGCTCGTGCACAACAATTGGTAATACAGAGACTAATACTCATCAATGTTAGAAGTTAAACCATATAATCCCAATTTGTGATAACGAAGAGCCATTTGGGAATCAAGATTGGGGAATTCAATTTGATTTTACCTCGTATGGATTGGTGTGAATAAGAGGACGACCCAAACGCTTGGAGATTTCCTTCTTTTGCTCGAGAGCTTTTTTAGCCGCCTCGCGATTAGGGTCGAGATGCCGGAGACTCGCAAACAGAACCAAGCAGCTGAAAGCAGCGCTCGCCGCGTAAAGTATGAGTTCTTGTAGGATCTTCGTCTCTGACGAGCCACCCATTTCTCTTCCAAAAACAAATCCTTTCAATTACAGAGGATCGCAAATTAAAAAAAAAAAAAAAAAAAAAAAGCCCTAAATAGCTCAGAAATTAGGGCTCATCAGATGGAAAGTGTAAACCCGAGGAGGATAAGTTTGCAGAAGACGGAGATTTTTTTCCTCTTCTTGCGGACGACGACAGAGTTTTTTGTTCTCGAATGCCTTGAGGATTGAGGAAAAGATAAACTAAAATTACCGAAATAACCTCAGCTGCACCGTCGTAAGTCGTAAAAACCAGTCAAGAAGGGCCCTTGAAGGCCTTAAACATAATAATCTGCTTTAAAAGTTAAAACCCAATCAGTGACACTGTTCGGTGTCCTCTTTACATTTTTCCAATTTTCTGGAAAAAAAGGCTTGCTTTCACATCGCTTCGTCTGGTTTGGATTCTAAAAAGGGTGAGTTTTTTCTTCTCTTTTTCTTGGAAGTTCGTAGATCAGAATTAAGTAGTAGTAGTCTAGTAGAAGCGATTGATAAACCCAATGTAGCAACTTTTAGGTAAATTTCTAAACTGGAATTGGAAATTAGCTATTTTGGGGCATGAACTAGACTCGTGCTCGCCTGAATTAGCTGTTTTTTTTCTTTTCCGTTGTGAATGTGTTTTATAAAATTTTGAGAATCTTACAGTTTGTGTTTCTCATCAAAGGTTTGATTTTTATGTTTTTTGCAGGCGTGAGAAAGGTGTTATACTGTGTCTCTAATGGCTACAGATTGGATCAGCAATCTCCCAGATGATGTTCTTGGCAAAATCCTGTCTTTAGTTCCGACAAAACTTGCTGCTTCGACCGCTGTTCTGTCCAAGAGGTGGAGGAATTTGCTTCCTCTGGCTCTACTTGACAGCCTTGACTTTGATGACTCGATGCTTATTTATCCCGACAGGGATGACGGAGAAGAAGAAGAAGCAACGATTCGTGAAAGAAGACGACACCTCTTCTCCGATTTCGTGGACAAGACGCTTGCTCTCTTAAGCAATTCTGCTCGCATCAAGAGATTCTCTCTGAACTGTGAGGACGAGGATGACGAATCTCGTGTCAATCGCTGGATCCGCACAGCTCTGGAACGTGGCTGCTTGGATCTCAACTTAGCTCTCGAGACTGATCTCCCTATAGACTCTGAGTTCTTCACGAGCAAAGCACTGGTCAAGCTCTCAATCTCCCGCGGATTCTATACTGGAGATAGTCTTCCTTGTGGTGGTGTGCTCTTCCCTGCGCTCAAAACACTTTCTCTCGTTTCGACATGCGTTTGACTATACTGGCTTCATCCATGGCTGCCCCGCGCTAGAGGAGCTATTCATGCATGAATGGAGGAAGCACTTCTCGTGTCCACACGTCAAGCGGTTAACCATCACTTATCCTTTTGTTTACTTCTGCCGTAAGTCTAGAGTTAGTCTAAAGACACCGAGTCTTGTGTACCTTGATTACGCTGGTTTCGTCGCTAGAAAATATTCTGTTGCTTTGGATTCGCTTGTGGAAGCTAGGCTGGACATACGGTTATATGACCCGCCAAGAGTCCCTGGTACGGATGAATATTATGGAGATGTTACGAGTTTAATTCAGGGGATGAGCAACATCCAGAGCCTCCACTTGTCATCTCATTCTCTTGAGGTTAGCTTTGCTGCTTCTTCTTCTTCTACTTCTCTCTTAGTGTTAGTGCTTGCAAGATCGCTCACATGAATTGATAATGGTTTGTATCAGGTGTTTTACCATTGTTGTGATTCCATGCCGGTGCTCAACAAGCTCCTTACTTTGTCTATCGAGAGTGACGACGAAAAAGGCTGGCAAGCAATGCCACGTCTGCTCAAGAGCTCCCCAAATCTACAGACTTTAGTCATCAAGGTATCAAATTTGTTTTCTCTCTTGCAATTTTATGCATGCCTAACAAATTGATGCTGTGGTTTGTTTATTGGTGGGGTCCTCAGGGTCTTACGCACAGATTTGTTTATTGGGGAACTTGTATGCTGTTTGTCGAGGAGGGAGTATGCAGTTTGTCGAGGTGTCGAGTGAAGGTGCTAGAGATTTCAGGGTACGGAGGAAGTCTTAGAGAGCTGAAACAGCTGGGGAATTTCTTGGGGAAGTTGGAATGTCTTGAAACTGTGAGAGTTGGTGTTGATGAAGAGGACAATAACAAGTTTTTGCGAGATCCTCTAATGGCTCTCCCCAGAGTCTCACCAAAATGCAAGATTCTGATTCTTCCGTTGTAGCTGAGATTTGATGGCATGAGTGTATTGTATGGATTATATATGATTAAGTTATGTGACAATTTATAGTTTAAAAATGAGAATTTGTGTCTGCACTTGTTGTGAAGTGAGTTTTTGCCTTGAGGATTGAGGATATGAGCTATTGAAATTACCCAAATTGAGGATATTGCTTTGTGTGAGTCACAAATATACATAGAATCAAGGTCATGTGATAGTTTAAAACAACCAAATAAGGTTCGTACGTCAAGTGAATCATAATCACTAGTTTTTTTTATTACGTTGAGATGTATGAGCTTTCAACTCAATTCCAACTCAAAACCTTATGAAAATTGTTATGTTTTTCTAGATCTTCAGTTATATGAGTCCCCAAATATCAATAACTAGATTAAGGCCCGCGTATACGCGGGTATATTTTAAAATTTTATAATAAAAGCATGGAAAATATTAAACAAAATTTGATCATTTTTCTATGTGCCTGAAGAAACTCACAATGTAATATTGTAATTGACAAAAGACACATGTATATAAAAATAAAATCTCTTTACATTATCTCTAATCCATTATGTTATGTGTATATGTTTTATCCATAGCTCATGCCAAACCGGAATTAAATATGAATGCATGTCGTGATCTATGGAGTTATATATTTTTCACATTTCATGCATAATTCATATCAATATTAAACGAGTGTAATTTTATAATTAATATATTTAGTTTAAGAAGTTTTTTTAGAAAAATAAATTAGAGCGTGAACTATGAATATGTAGACACATGCCATAAGAACAAATAAATGATTACAATACAAAAAAGTAACATTTCTCTATATATATTCTCTTCTCCTTGCTTCTAGCCTTCTACCACAAAGTTCTAACAATAGTCTTCTATTACTGGCTTAAGGTAAAACATAGAGCGACTACAACGATAACAATTGATCTTGGCATTATTTGCATACGTTCTTTCTTAAATCCGGATTTCTTGGTGAATTTTAAAAAGCAAATCTCTAGTTTAAAGAAATCTTTGACTAGATAAAGTCAGTTTGTTGGTGTATTAGCTTTCTAGATAGATAAGTGAAAACACGAGTCATGCAAAAATGAAGTAATCTCTTGGTGATTCAACTTTATTGTTCATGCAAAAATGAAATCTGCTGGTCCACTTACTGTTTTTACTTTTTACATGCACATATGTTTCGTGATTCCACCATTAACATTCACATGATTGTTCTTTATATATAAATCCTCCACAACTCTTATTCTCTTTCTTGTTCCTATGCAAAAGCAGAGTTAAAATCACAAAGAAAATGGAAGCGAGAGTGATTTCTTGCACAACTTTTGGAGACGACAAGGTCGTGAAGATTGCTGTATCGGATCATCGAACAATTGCCAAGTACAAAGCCGGAGAAAACGAGACGACCATTGTAGTTTCCGATGATTCTTGCTCGAACAAAGATGTCGAAGAGATTAAAAAATGTTGTGAGAAGCTCGGTTACGTTTACGAAGGAAGACTTGACGAAGAATACACTCAAACCAACACCGGACCCGGTTTAGTCTGAAATCTTATTGACTTTTAGTATGATTTTTCTTTTCTGGATTTGTCTTCTTTGCTGTTCTTAGTTTATCTCTTAGGTAATCTGCAAAACAATGGCTATATAAATGAATTTATAATGAGTTATTATTTATATATCTCACTTTGTGTATTAAATACATTTCTTACAAACACTGACTTTGACCTAGAGATGATGAACAAGAACCAAATCTACAAACTGAGTTTTGGCTCTTTGGCTGCTGCTTGTTGAAGTTGGTGCCTTTAGACATCGGTCTTTTGAGTAGTAATGGAGATGGCTTCTTCTATAGCTTGAAAGAATGTAGCAATCTTGTAAGTAAAGAACCCAACCAACATTGGTATCAACTCCAAATGCATGAATCCATACTCCGGAACAAGTATTCTGCAATGTATGAAGTCACAAGTTAAATGAAAGCTATAATAATGCACAAGAGAGAGAGAGAAAGAGAGAAAGAGAGAAACGTTGCTTACCCGTTCCATCTATTGAATATCATAACCAACACAACCGGGACTAGTAACCGTGGCTGTCCAGCTGCACCTCTGTCAAATCAATTCAACCAAACCGAAGAAACAAACAAGATGAGTGAGTGAGTGAGTGATTGAGTCGTCTCGAAAAAGATAACCGATAGGAATATGAATGAAAACGTACTTCATAACTCCCCTGGCTCCATCTGCCATGGCATCTACAGTGTTACCAAGCATTCTCATGTATGCTAATGAACCCATCAAGCCAGCACCAAAGCTGTGACAGAATTTCCAGCACAGATGAAACAAATGCAATTCTTTGAGAGGTTTGGATGTTTGTTTGCAGGAGAAAGACAACCAACCTAAGTGTTATCTCTGGGGTGTATGAAATATAAGCTGAGACTAAACCAACACCACCTATACCAACTGTGAGAAGCTGTAGCCTATTTTTCAGCTGCAAGAAAACAATCCAAAAGTCAAGAAGAGTAGGAACAGAATGCCCCAAACGTATCATTGCGTAGCCCATGAGAGTAAAGACTAAAAGGAAGTACTTTAAAATATTGCTCTCTGGATTCAGCAGCTAGTACTTGTGGGTCACCACGTGGTTTCCTCAGTTCCCTAAACATCACTTCCTGCAGCACAAGTTATCAAACGAAACAAAGAAATCAAGAAACAAGAAAAGGTGTGGAAGTCTAACCAATCAATGAACAAGAGATCATCATCTGCAAGATAAACTTACACTGCCACCAGTAGCAGCCTTAGTAGCTCTATCCCATTTATCTTGCTCACGACGTGTTGGTGCCAGCTTCCATCTAGGAGCTTTTATCTGTGGAAAAAAGAGATTATAATTTCAGAGATAAAAACTAACAATCTTGCTTGTGATAATACATTGGGAAATGAAGATGATCTTACCATCTGCTTTCTGGCTTCGGATTTGGAGGTGTCAAAAGCTTTTAAGATGGGTTTGGGAGACGATGCAAGCTCTTTGCTTAAATCAACATCCATACTGGTTACAACAAAGAAACCATTTAATCAAATGCAAGAATTCTCAGTTTAAGTAGAAAGAAAGAAAGAAGTAAAAACCTGTCAAGGCTCATAACTCTGCTAAAGCTTAGAAACCCAGATGACTCTTCCTGTTCATCACCGGTTAAACACACGATTAGTCTCTGAGATGGTTCACTAGAATTATGCACAAAAATCATAACTTTGGGCACCAATTTGATCTAATTTGCAGAAAATCTGAGGAAATGGAGAAGAAGTGACCTTAGTGGGAGATGGGTCGAGAGAAGAATCTTCAGGGGAATCGAACAATTTCTTCATTTGATCCATGAAATCTCTGTTCCAGATTAAGTCTTTGGAAGTGATGGGATCTTCCTTTTCTCCTCCCCAGTACTTTCGGAGCTTCGTTGTAGTCGGAGGACCACCGTACTCTCCGGGAGCAACGCCGGTGGACCATTTCTCCGGTTTCTTATTGGGTAGAATGATTTTGGTTGGTAGTCGAGGATTTGTTAATTGTTGGTCCTGAGGAATCGGCGGCGTAGCAGATGACGCTGAGATATAGCTAAGGATCGCCATGGATGAGTTTCCTGTGGAGGTTATGACGCTTCACCCAATATTGACGATGACGAAGAATGTCACTGTACGAGTTTTCAAAGTTTTGCGTTTTAACCAAATAACCAAAATATAATAATATATAAACTTAATTAGATACAATATCAAAAAGCGGGGATAGCTCAGTTGGGAGAGCGTCAGACTGAAGATCTGAAGGTCGCGTGTTCGATCCACGCTCACCGCAATTTTTTCTTTTTTGGTTTGGGCTTAGTGTTGTATCTTTCAAAAACATTAAAGTCTCATTAATAATCCACAAATCTCTAAAATACTCTCTGTAATTAGCATTCTTTTAAAATTCTTCATTCTTTGGAGTGGAGTACCGTTACTCCATTATCACAAACTACCTTTACTCGATTTGAGCAGCGTCTTCATCGATATTCTCTTCCTCTTCTTCGTCGTCTCTCTCCGTTTTGGCTTGGCTATGGATTGAGTCTTTTCCTCGGCATTGAGAGTCTGGAGCGATGTGACAGAACACTCTCGCCACTTAAGAGCATTGATGTCGACTATCACTTCTTCGAGAGTTAGGGTTGCTACTGAGGACACATTGCTCTGTCTCAGTGTGGATCGAGAGAGGTCTATTAGATCCAATCCGCTGACGGCATCAGCTATCGTTTTCTTCTGTTTATAAGAAATTCAATCGACGGATGAAGAAAGTTAGAGATTAGGGGAAGCTGATCCTTCTCGATTTTAATGTAATCGATGATTACCGTCTTCGTTCTGTGAAGATTTTGGAATCCGTGCATGTGTATGATCTGCAGAAAAACGCGAATTCGATGGAGAAGCGCTTTAGACTGGGGAAGAAGAAGCAGAATAGTGATTTGCAGAAGAGAGGGAGAGAGAGAGAGAACCTGATTGAGGAAAGTGATTGATTTGGAGTGTGTATTGCGAGATTTGAAGAAATCAAAGTATTCTTCGATTGTCATCTTCTTCGTCTTCTCTCCTACTTGCTTTTTCATTCGTCTCGCGTTACCAGTTTCTGCTTCGTCGTCCTCCATTTTCAGCTGTCTCTCTCTCTTCACTCCCCTCCGAATTCTGGGGATTCTCCTAACGGCCTCGCAAAACGACGTAAATACCCTTGATGGTATTGACTCTTCCTAATTTGATACGAGCTTCCGCGTGTGATACGTACCTTTGCTTATACGTGTTTGGGGAAATTAGGAAAGGAAAGGATTTGATAATAATATTTTTAATTTGTTTCGATTTCAGATTGACCTTATCATATGGTTTTTGCTTCGGACCGTAACAATATCAATTTTAAATTTGATTATACAAACAGGAGATATCTACTTTAAATTTTAATTAAGAATGTCTAAAGATATGATTGAAAATCTTTTAAAGTACATCAATTTTAGTAGGTTAAAAACGAA